ATCATCGGATGAAGCATCTCAAGGAATTTGCGTTCCAGGCTTTTCCTAGCCAGCTTTTTCGAGCAACTGTCCCTGAGATTTGGGGTTGTGTCACCTCAGCAGCTTGAAATGGTGACCATTGGATTGGACCCCCATATAGCATGAAAGGGCAGTTTGAAGCGGGTCTTCAACAGGGGAATTGCACTGTCATTAGTTGGTGGCACCCTCATTCTCTGGCAGACACGCCTATGAGCTCTGGTTGTCTTGGACGTCCCGTCTGTGGCTTTTCCGTGCGCGAGCCAAAGCACGGAGGTACATGAAGGTGTATGTGATCGCCGTGGCGGTCCTGATGTGGTGCCGCGGATCGGGTTAAACCGCGGATGGCTTTCGGGCGTGAAAACTATGGGACAGTTGGGAGGGCCAAGCGCGGCCATTGTGGGACATTTGTGTGGTCCTCTCCAAAACTAGGTCCCCCAGTAGTGGCCTTTCTCACCTACTTTTTGGGTTGGGAGCAGAAACAGTTGGTACCCTTCTAACCTCTCCACTGGAGGACCTAGAACATATATATTCAGAAACGACCTGTGTTTTTGTCGGGGGCAACAAACCATTCCCCCCAAGCTGGGCCCCTTTTCGGGGACGCGTTGGCGGTTGCGCGGGTTGCCTGAGATGTGTCCTTGAGTTGGTCAGGTACAAGACGCGGATGTTCACCTACACCCCTGGGACTATTGCAGAGGAGGCTTTCGATGGCTGGTCAAAAATTAGGTACCCCAAATGGGTTGCCCTGGCAAATGGAAAGAACAACTAAAACCTGTGGTCCAATTCCTGGTGGGTTTAATTTTGACCCATACCCACATGCACGCGCACGGTTTTTGTTTGTATGTCAAAGCGTCAATCGGATTTGTCAGGGTCAAAATTAAGGCACCAGGAATTGGACCGCAGGTTTTAGTCCTTGGTTCCATTTACTGGGGTTCCAAAACGGATACCCATTTGTGACCCACGGCCAATCTCCTCTGCATCTCCAGAGCCTTGTTCAAAACGTCCCCAGCAGAATTGGTGAACCAATTCCCGTATTGTGCGATGCGGAAACTGGGGGGGGAGGGCCTCTGGCTCTGTGATAAGCAGATACCATGAGTGAGAAAGTCATGGGAACGACTCTCATGGAATCACGACGGCCGATGTGGCACGGAATTTGCGGCCCACCTCGTGGTCGGAAGGGGGCACATAGTAAGGATTCGTCAAGCCCCCGATACCACGAAACCAATTCAATCGCCACCTCAGTCTGAGTTGCGATCGCTTTTTCAGTCACTGCTGGTTTTTCGATGGCAAAGTGGATGGAGAAGAGAAAGCAACAACTGGCGATCCAATTATTTGTTTTTTGGTGCTTCACAATTTGGGCTATGGGTATGCTTTATCTTGACGGTAGAAACTGGGGTAAAGCGCACCTGTCTCCAGTTCAAAATTGGGCTTCCTAATAGTTCCATGCCCCATCAGAAACTCAACTTGGCTCGAAAGACGCCCGGGGGCAAAACCCAAACGAGGGACAGCTGACCTGATACAGGGATCCTCACAATACTCCGCCTCGAGGATCGACGCCTCCAGAAGTCTTACTCCTCCCCCTCTTCCCCCCCCAAAACCCCAAACCCCCTCCAAAACTCCCCCCCCCAAACCCCCAACCCCCCCCCAAACCCAAACCCCCCCCAACCCAAACCCCCTCTTCCCCCTGCCCCCCAAACGGTTTCCCAAAGATCGCAGGCGCTGGTCCTTCTTTTCCTGGCGCTCCTGCTGCGCTCGCGCCTGGCGTTAGCCGCGCGGGGCTTCGGGACCGGGGAGCGGCGGCTTTTTGATCGCCGGAAGTGCACACCCAGGGAGAGTGGAGCTGTTTCGGGGCATCCGGAACTTCCATTTGCCCAGGGCCCCTTTTTTTTGAACCTTTATTGGGGGGGGGGGGGGAGGGTTCCCTTTCAACTCGGCCAACCAAAAAAAGGAGACCCTTTTGTTTTTTCTCCCATGGCGACTGGGCATCTGAGATAAGGGACGCTGTTTCACGCATTTGGGCTTTGGATTCCATCGGACAGTGGCGATCGATTCGGTGCCATGCGTAAATGGTTCGTAAGCCCGGTGAAAAAATCCGTACGGAGACAACAAGAAGCCATGGCTTTTGTGTAAGTGATTACACCAGGCTTAATTACTAACCACTTACCTGACGTTTCGAATCGATCGCCCCTTAACAGTCCCAACTAGAAGTGGCCCCCCATTCTGAGTCTTTCCATCGGACATGTCAAGGAAAAGAGTGCGACTCTGGGCTTTCCCATTTGCAGGAACGATGTACACGGAGCTTCCTCTTTTGCGGGGCATGCTCCACGCCCCCAAGAATTCGGAGACCTCAAAAAGCCCATGTCTTGAGACTCAAACCCTTCGAGTTGAGGTACCTTTCCCCGACAGGTCCGATGCTTGGGGCATGACAAGGGCTTTTGGTGAGCATGATGCACATCGCTTTTGGGCATGGGCCGAGGGTCAACCGTGCCATCCGTCGACGGATATTGGATATGTCATTCCGACTACTTTGAGCCGGGGCAAAAGCAGCTTCTTGAGGCCAACATGGCTCCCAAAAAAGGTGGCTGGTTTGCAGGCACCGGGTTCGCGCGCGCCTGCGAGGCCCTCTAGGCTTGGAAGTGAGGTGTGTGTGAAGTTTCTGTGTGCAACCATGAGCGCACTCCTGGAATCCTTCCAAGCCTTCGCAGGCGAAGGGTCGGGGGTGGCCGCGGAAAAAGGGGGGGGGGCTTTTTTTGGGGAGGGTCAGGATGTTTGGCAAAAGGCCAAGGGCAAATTTCAAATCCATGTCGCGAAGTGCCACTTTTGCTTGAGCCAGGAGGCAGTTGTACCCTGAGGTTTGACTTTGGGCCCTTCATACCACAGGTTGTTAAATCATACAGATCTGGTCTAGTTCTTTCAAGCAGTTGATTGCAATTCACCACAGAGCATGTGGCCCGGCCACCTCTCACCAGACTTCCGGCCAATTTGTCCGGTTGCTTGCTCGATGCCTAGGTAGCCAAGTTGCGATCGCTTTTTTCAGTCACCGTTCCCTGGTTTTTGGAGTGGATGAAAAAACGCGATCGCAACTGTCGATCCAGCTGGCAATTCTGTTTCTGCGATTTCGGTTGCTTCTCTTCCATTTTGTTAGGACTATTTTTATTTTATCTTGTTGGTTTTAAAGGGAATCTATCACTGCTGGACATACTTTTTCATATTTTTTTGCCAGGGGATAAAAACGCAAATGAGCCACAATCAAAACTCGGGCAGATCCACCCCAACCATAAATTTCTGCGGATATCCGCCTTTTTAATTCGTGAAGCATGGCTCTGGGTCGACCATTTTGATACCGGGTTTTGACAAATTATGACTCAAATGGAGCAGGGCTCCTTAAAAGATCTCCATTTTGCCACCAATTGAAACATGTTGCTTTTTCAACACCAAGATAAAGTTGGAAACCACCATTTAAAAGGCAATGTTCGGGTGTTTTTCATGTAAGGATCCCTGAGGTTCCGTTCGCGGACGGGTCCCATGGCAGGCGGCCAAGAGATGGACAACCGGACCTGGGTGAAGTGCCTCAAGGCGCGGCGGGCGGTGCGGCGTTGGGAGCGAGGCCGAGGTAGGTCACTTTGTGGCATTTTGCCAAGGGATGTTTGGACTGAAGAACTTGTTTTGCCAACTAATGGGTTTTCCATATTAAGCCACTAAAAGTAAAAAACTCTTGGCAGGGGAGCGGAAAGCAACCGAGGTAAGGGGAACGTCCAGCCAGAGTTCTACTTTTTGACTATATCTCAGGGGCTTAAACCCAGGGGTGGCTCATTCCCACCAAAGAGAACCCCCTGAGTTTAAGTGTATCTTGGGGTAGTCAAAAAGTGGAAACCTGCGTCCAGTGGTTTGGTCAGGGGAAATGACAGCAAAACCACCAGTTTGGGAGGGGACCTAGACACACTGACAACGAGGCCATGAAGGTTCTTGGAAAAGCTCTCTGAGGCGATGTTTCGTGGTGTTTTCTCTTGCACAGAACGGAAAATGCGGAGGCGAGTTGCGGGCGAGTTGTTTTGGGCAGGGAGGAAGCACCCAAAAGAGAGGGAGGCGATTTCTTTGTGTCTGTTTCGGTTTCTTTTGCTTCAGTCGTCAAGACTTTTTTTGTGGTTTGAATTGTCTTTTCGATGGTACCCATTTTGGGATGGTTCCCCAAACAGTGTGTTTTCACTAAGGGGTTCTTACGGTAAGAGAAAAAGGCGCGGTGCTAGATCGAGGTGCTTTGTCTATGAATTACCGCTGAATCATGCTCTTGTGTGATGTTGAAGTGTGTTTCGACTGCGCAGGTTCGCAGAAAGTCGGGTGCCGACTTCGGCGAATTTCGAATTTGCGCTCTCGCTGTGGTGCCGTGCGAATTCCGAAAGCGGCAGATTGGTGAACCCTCTGCGGACATTGGATCGCTCTCGCTGTGGCGCGGTGCGAATTTTCAGAATCGAAATCAACCCTCTGCGGGCTTTAGGTGTGTTGAATCGCTGTCGCCGTGGCACGGTGAACATGGTGAACATCGAAAGCGAAGCTGCTGCGGACTTTGGGTGGGTCGGATCGCTCTCGCTGCGGCGCGGTGCACATTGCGAGCTTCGAAAGTGAACCCTCTGCCGACTTTTTTGGGTGGGTCGAACCGCTCTCGCTGTGCGACGGTTCGAATTTGGAACATCGAAAGTGAACTCTCTGCGGACTTTGGGTGGGTTGGATCGCTCTCGCTGTGAGTGAACCCTCTGCGGACTGGGTGTTTCGGATCACTCTCGCTGTGGTGCGGTTGACATTGTGAACAACAAAGCCGATCGAACAGCTTTCCATGCCGCGCTCGCTGTTTGGGGTCTCTTGTTGGGATATTTTCCCGGAAACACGAGGAAGCCAACCATTGAAGGGTCCCGTACCTTAAAGACTACCTCCCCCCCATTTGGGGGAGGCCGGCTGGGTGATGTTTTTGGCCGGGCTGGCAGGATGCCATGCTGCTGGACGAGGACTTCACCACGGTGGACGCGGATCTCATCTTCGCCAAGGTGAAGGGCAGGCGGGCGGGGAAAAAAACGAGGAAAAAAGAGAAACAACAAACACAAAACAAAAACAACAACAAAGAAGAACAGCAACGGGAAAAAAAGAAAGAGAAGCAAGAGAAAACTAAACAAAGTAAATTAAACAAAACAATTACACAAATGAACAATATTAAACAACAAAAATAAAGTGGACAAGAAGAACAAGAAGAAAACAATAACAAATCCCAGGAAGAGGAGAGGTGGTTTCCCAGAAAACGGACAGAAAGAACGGGACATCGGTGGCCAGCACCCTCCAAGGATGGTCCATGTGTGCCTGATGTGCCCTTGTGTGAGCCATTGTTGGACTGGTGGGTTGATTTGGGCTTCTCCGAAAAATCCACGAAATGCACCTTGACTAAGTTTGATATGGGACATGGCGCCAAGGGAATCTCCCCATATCCCTGCTCCCTCCATATCCCCGCGGAAGTTCGTTTGTCCAACTTTACGCAGGCATAGCGTCAGGACCAGGCTTGGCTCCCATTAATGTTCCATTCACAGGAAGCCTGGGGCCAAAAAGGAGCTCTTTAAGGGATGTGAACCTTTGCAACTCACTTCCTGAGGTCCTGGACTTTTCAACATTTTGGGAAGACCGTTTCAGCCGTTTGGAGAGTTTTTGGCCAATCTAGTGGGGAGGTGAGGCAAAGCAAGATAATTCTGTAGGCAGTGGAGTGAGGATGTAGGGACTCGAAGGGATCTGTTGGACTCCCTTTAAAGCCACCATACAAAAAGCGGATACACACCAAAATAAGCCCAGGTGGTATCCCCAACAGCCCCCGAAACCCCCTTTTGAACCCTTCCTGAAAGCTGCCCCAAAGGCCCCCGCGAAGGCTTTCAGCTGTTAAGCTTATGAACAATACTCAAAGGGGCGATCGATTCGGTATGTCAGTGGCTGGTCGGCCTGTTGAAATCACTTGTGCACAGAAGCCATGGCTTTTTGTTCCGTCTCCCTTCAGCGGGCTATCGCACCAGGCTAAGCACTTACCTACCGAGTCGATCGCTGGTTCAGCCTGTTGACACCTTGGTCTCCAGCGGAAGGAACTCCCATGACTCCCGCGCGGAAAGTTGGGAAGCAATCAAAACCCCGGGTAGATGAAGGTTAGTAAGGGGCGGTCGCCGGAAATAGTTGCGGCGGCCTCTTCAGTTCCCTACGTGGCTCTGGGTTCACCATTTTTATAGCAGGTTTTGATTATGACTCAAATGGAATGAACCCAGGCTGTCCCTTTAGTGAGGAAACCATCAGTTGGATGGTTTTTCTTGGCGTCAGACTCCATTTCTCATTCCCGATTCCCGCAAGTTGTTTCCATGGGCCACGTGAAAACAGTGGCACTTTCTTGATGCTCCTTGTTTCCATGCATCCGCTCGGGCAGTAGAAAGAAAGTTAATCTGTGGAACATGATAAGATCCGAATTGTAAGACTTGGAAAGCCCTTTCTCGAACAGAAGCCTGGAAAGCGGTGCCTTTGCTGAGCCCGCCGAGTTTCACCCCTTCGATTGAAATGTGGTTTTGGTTTTCTGGGCTCCATGTGTGTCAAAATTAAACCACCAAGATATGGACGGTTTTAGTCCTTGTTTCCGTTGACCAGGGTTCCATGTGTTATACCTATGTTTGACTCGCACCCCATATTCATTTGAGGAGTTGTCGCCTCTTGTTTTCATCCCACAAGATCCTGAGACAGACGGATTACTTTGTTTTTCTTCCTGTTTATTTTGTTTCTGGTGCGGTCCCACTAGTGATCGGGATTCCGGATTCCCCCGTAAGACCGGGGTTGTTTCCTTTGAACCTACCACTGAACGGACACCCCGCTATTAATAGCTGGGGCCGATTCACCCGGAGTTCACATGCGAATTTGAATTAGGGACCCTTTGGTGGACATCATTTAGGTGGGGATGTATGCCCACCAGCCACGTTTCATAAGGTTCCCCATTAAAAATCAGAGCCACATCAGCGGATAAATACCCGCCAGTCTCTTCCATGCGGCGCCGAGGGGGAGTCGGAAGATTGACTTTGGGACCTTCAAGAAGGCCTTGAGCGAGGTGGCGAAGAAGTGGAACAACATGACCCAGGAGCAGGCGGAGAATTTCCGGGTTAGGTTTTCTGGTGTTGCTTTGGTGTTCCTTTGGGTGTTCCCTGAAAAATCCAGGAAGAGCAGGAGGGTTTCCCTGAAAACGAAAAGAACGGGACATCGGTGCCAGCACCCTCCAAGGGTGGTCCACTTTTGTATTTGATGTGCCCTTTGAGCCATTTTGGGTAATTGACGGCCCAGAGGGCGCTGGGTCCGGAACTGTTTTTTCAGCTCAAGGGAGAGCAAGAGGGAATAAAGGAGAAGTTTTTTTGTTTTTGTTTTTTTTTTTAATATGGGGGTCCCAGTTTGACACAACGAAGGCAGGTGTGGAGCACAATTTGTTGACCATGGCCATGTTCCCAAGAGAGGTTCTTCAACAAGTTAAATGGGTCTTTCTCAAAATAGGGGACCCAAAAATTTGTCACGTCCCTTTGGTTTGCGTTTGAAGAAGGGGTACCCTCCATTAAAGACCCCCCGAAATGAATGTTTGAACATGTTTGACCCAGACGGGTGGATAAGAATGCGGCCGAGCGGAGCGGCCAAAAGGCAAATTCGGATGGCGCGGCAAAATATTCGGGGCTAATTGCAGTTCCAGTTTAAGGAAACTGGGCTTCCATTTGCTTATAATCATATTTTTGTTTTTCTTGTTGGTTTGAATGGATCTCACTACTGGACATATTTTTCCCCAGATAGCTGAAAGCTATAGGGTTCCAACTTCTAATAAAGAAAGGAAAGTGATTTGCGAGATTGATGGCTGGGTGCTCGGGGGCGTGCAGTTTGGGATGCTAGCGCAGGTGCTGTTTTTGGGGGCCCTGGTGCCGGCCAGGTGTGGTTTTGCGAGAATGACCGTAGGGTGCTGGGGGGCATGCAATTTGGGGATTGTTGAGCAGATGCTATTCGGGATGCTGTTTGGGTGTTGAGGTGCTCTTCCAGCAGTGCTTTTAGATGTGCTGGCGTGCAGTCATTGGCACGTGTTTCGCTATTTGGGGTCTGCACATTCTCCGGGCAAACGCGGAACAGAGTAAAATACGCAGAGCCACTCTGCGAGGGGATCCGTTGCAGTTGCGTGAGACGGACAAGCCCTTCCTAATGCGATATCCCGTTTAGTATCAATCTGGGAATTTGCTGGTGTAATCTGATTTCTTTCCAGGGGACGAAAGCGCCAATGGAAGCTGGGGCAGAATCTGCGGGTCCAACTCTGGCTCACAAATGGGGACCCTTTCCGCAGTGGCTTCAGCGGCCGGGGGGACCCTTTCCGCAGTGGCTTCAGCGGCCGTGGGGGAAGGCCAGTTGAGCCACGTGCTCAAAACCGATTCGGGTAGATGAAGGTTAAGGGATAGTCCCCTTTCCATGGGTGCGGATATCCGCCTTTTTCAGTCTGTACATTCCGGGTATAGCCCATTTCAATTCCCGTCAGTTTGGATTTTGACCTTCTCAGCTCTCGTCGTGCACAAGGTTTCGCCAGAGGCGAGCTTGTCTTCACCCATGGCTTCTCTGGCACCAGCCAATCATCTAGGTGGAACAGTAGTGCCCTTTCTCACCCCTTTTTTGGTTGGGAGGGCTCCCCCACTAAAATAGACTACAGAAAAGAAGGAAAGGGTACCAACTCATTCTAACCTCTCAAATCTGGAGGACCTAGTCATTGAGTCTCGCGGGGTTGTTGCAATTGGCGACTTGCAGGTGGAGGACATCATTTGCTTGGCGGCCGGTCCCCACTATGAGACCTCCCAGGCAGGGTGGCGGGGTGCGATGGGCTCAAGCCCAGTGACATGAACAGAGCGGCCCAACTCTGGAAATGCTCCTCCTGTTGTTCCCCTTTGGCCACTTACGCCCACCAGGAACCACGGGTTTGAGTCACATACACCGACCAGATCCAGAGATGCGCGGAAGACCCACGCCTGGCCATGTAGGCCCGCAAAGTTCGTTCCGGTGGAGTTCTCCATGGGTGTGGTCCCTCGTGATTTCGAGAAGCCCAGCTTAGAGTTGAAGCCAAGCCAAGTCCCGGTTTCATGTCTCAAAAACCTTCCCAAATCCCCGGATGGATTCGCATTGCTTGAAGCCTTGAGGTACTTCTTTTCGGGTTGCGAAGTTATAGCCGAAAAAGGAAGCCACCCATCTTGAGGTTCTACGCCGCGGATCTGACGACTAGGTTCTGACTACACGGTTTCCAGCTTGCTTCTTCTGTTCCGCATCCGGAAGGAACCCATGTGGCGGTGGGGCAAACAATATGTATGGCTTATTCTGGGAAATGGAACCAAGGACCCAAACCTGCGGTCCATACTTTGGTGGTTTTGAATTTGAGCCAGACCTCAGCCAAGCCTCAAGTATTGTGTGGTTGGGGGGTTTGAAACCTGGTTCTTGCATGGGGCAAATGGGAAACCACCTGGAAGACCACACCACCGATTCGGCTCCAAACAATGAATGAATGGGAAGCTGAATGACTCAATCATCCCCAACACCGGTTCATTCCCAAGACCCGGACTCGGAAGGTTGTTCCTTACTGAGCACCAGCAAGTTAATTTTGACCCATACCCATGTGAATCAAAAGGTCCTTTACATGGCGTGACCATGATATAGGGAAGCCAACAAACACCACCAAAGAAGATGAGACGTCCCACATGGGTCAAACAGAGGTACCCAAAATGGGTTACCCTGGCGAACGGACACATGGACTGCAACCTGCGGGGCCAGCAAAGCGATCCACCTTGCAAAAAAAACAAACCCACATTTTTTGACCCACACCCATTTGGGGCCGAGGAAAATGGATCCACCTTGTAAGAAACAAACAAACAAAGAATGGCTCCACCTTGTAGGAAAATGGTTCCACCCAAACAAAGACAAAAACACAAACACCGAAGGAAAAAACGGAAAAAACAAAAAACCGTGAAGAACGAGAAAAAAAACGAAAACAAAAAAAAAAAAGAACAAGAAAAACACCGCGGGGGTCTGGTCAGGTGGACCCCGTGGCGGACGAGGCCCATGGCCCGGCCAGGTTCTACTACGACATGACTCTCTACACAGGCGGCTTTCTTTTGGGGGGTTGCTGGGGGGGGGGAGTGGGATGGGGTGGGGGGGTTGGGGGTGGGGTGGGGCTGGGGGGGGGGGGGGGGTTGGGGGTGGGGTGGGGGTGGGGGGTTGATGGGGGGGAGTGGGTTGATGCTGAGATCTCGGTCTAGATCCCTTTGAGCTAGAGTCCTGTTGGTCGAGAATGGAGTTGGCTGGGTGGACTAGACCCTGCGCAGTGATGCCCTCTGTTCGACTTTTGCGAAGGGTGGCCCTTTAAAGTCAACCAACCAAGGGATGCCCTATTTTTCCCACGGAATATCCTTTGGGCATTTCAGTATATGTTGTTCCACTTTTCCTGGTGGATGGAGGCCTGGCGGTTGAGAGCCAGGCTGGCTACTAGTCAGAGGCCCAAAGTTTGTCGAGAAAGGAAGTCGTAGGGATGCGGTGGATCCAAATTGCTTTTGCAAGGTTGACACCTTAAGCCGCACTTGAACCAAGCTCCTGCTGGCAGAAAAGCAGTGTTTGTGAGCATGGTGAACCCGAATGATCGCGCATCATCGTGTTCTGGGTTGAATTAATATGCCTGGATCAGGGCAGTTTGATTGAGGGATGACCGTACCTCGGGTGCATACGCCTTGGCTGTTCTTTTTGTTTCTTTAAATTGGTTGTTTCAAGCAGGGAAGCCCTTTCTACTGGAAAGGCCCTCTTTTCTACTGGAGTGCCCTTTCTTGATGTGACAAGCCACGGTCCGAACGGTGGGCATTAGCCAAAATGCAATATTTGTTCGATTCCGGACAGTATGGTTGCTCACATTGCAGACTGGCCATCCAGCTGATGGAGGCATTTGAGCGAATCGCCGGGCTTTGTTTGCTTGGTTTCTCTGTTTGCTTGCTCCTTTCTTTTGTCTGTTTGGGTTGCTTCTTATATCAGATTTCTTTGCAGGTCTTCTATAATTGATACCTGTATGCATGTCTACATGTATATGGAGATATATAGAAAACACATGATAAACTTTAGAGCCTCCGGCTCAGTCCGCCGACATTGTCCTCTCCCTTTTCTCCTTCTTCCCTCTCCCTTGTCTCCCTCGTGCGTTCTGTCGTCCTCTCTCCCTCCCTCTGCTCCCCATTCTCCCCATCCCCCCAAGCCTCTCTCTCCTCAATCTCCCCCTCTCCCTCTCTCTCTCTCTCTCTCTCTCTCTCTCTCTCTCTCTCTCTCTCTCTCTCTCTCTCTCTCTCTCTCTCTCTCTCTCTCTCTCTCTCTCTGTCTTTCTGTGTCTCTCTTTCTCAGTCTCCGTTTTTCTCTCTCTCGCTGTCTCTCTCTCTGTCTGTCTCTTTCTCTGTTTCTCTGATTCTGGCTCTGTCTGTGGCTCTGTCTCTCTCTCTCTCTTTCTGTCTCTCTCTCTGTCTCTCTCCCGCTCTCTCCCTCTCTCTCTCTCTCTCTCTCTCTCTCTCTCTCTCTCTCTTTTTTTCTCTCTCTCTCTCTCTCTCTGTCTGTCTGTCTGTCTGTCTGTCTCTCTCTCTGCATTGCAGCGTCACGTCCCCCCCCGAGTTGCCTCGATGTCCGGGCACTGCCCCTGCATGACCCTGAACTGTCATCTCACTACTGGCTTTCCCCCTTCATGTCCTTGTCACGTTTCCCATGATGTCCTGGTCCTGTCCCTTCCATGCCATTCAGCCCCCCCTTCATGTCCCTGACATTTTCTCGGTATGTCCGCTTCGTTTGCCATGTATGTCCCGTTCTTTCGTTGCGAGTCATTTCCCTACATCTCCCGTCGTGCTTGGTTTCCTTGTGCTTTGTTTCCTCTCCTTCCCCCTGCACTCCCCTTGTTTTCATTTCTGTCCCTTGCATGTCCCTTTCAGCCCCTTTGTTTCCCTTTCATGTCCCGCTGCTTTCCTGTCATGTCGACTTCCTATTTCCTCCCCTCATTTCACTTGCACTTCCTTGCATTTCCCCTCTGCTCCCCAATATTTCCAGCAAAAAACACGGGTTTTCCAGCGTTTTCACAATTAGGACGTCCAAAAACACAGAGTTTTTTCCAGATTTTCCTGCAAAAGGAGGCAGGAACCCCAAACCAGCAAAGAGCCGGCAGGGGGAATCGAGCCTGGGACCCCTGTTTTGCGACACCGGCTCCCCGAAGACTACGTTTAGTGGAACGTCATCAAATTGCCGCGCGGTCCTTGGGGGGGGGGGGGCCCCCCCCCCACGTATCAGACGTCGGGCGGGGGGGGGTTAGGGGGGGGGTTATCCTCTATCCTCTCTTAGGTGTCCGACACGCCGAGCAATGTCGGCGGACACGTGCAGTAATTCAAATGCATATACGCCCCCCGAAGAAAGCAACAACAAACACAAAGTCAACCAGAAAGCAACAGAACACACCCGCTCCTAAATGACAATCCTGGCCCCCTCCCCCACCGCCTCCCCGCATGAAACCGAATGAAAAGGAAAGAACTTTCAATCGGGGCCGATTCGAGATTGCCGGAAAACTGTTCCAGGGAGAAAAAACAAATCCAGGGAATCTTGAATCCAGGCCTGAATGAAATATTGGTCGACTTCAGTTGTTTTTAGTCGAAACCCGGATTCAAGATTGAAGATACCAGACCAGTTTTGTTCTGTGTCGTTCTTTTTGACTTCTTTTTTTTTGTGTTGCGTTTAAGAGAAAACATCAAGAGGCTCGAGTGTCGTTTGTGTTTTGGACATCTGGCCTTCTAAATCACAAAGCGAGCGGTTTTGTTGTGTTTGTTAATGGCAACTGCTAAACGACCCAAAAACACTAGAGGGAACACGAAGCAACAACCTCGAGAGAACCAAACAAAACACAGGGGCTGAAACCAACGGTCCTCCCTCAGAGTCGTTTTTTTTTTTTTTGTGTGTGTGTGTGTGTGTGGCCCCCCTGTTCCTAAGGGGTTTTGCGGTCGTGCTTTTCTCTCTTTATTGGAGTCGAACGCCACCTTGCTGGATGTCTCAACATGAAGCGTCTCATATCAAGTGTGTTTAGGCACTGCGTCCGGGCTTCGGTCAGTGTCTTGATCCCTGTTGTGGGCATCTGTTCCGACTCATGCTCAGACGTTTTCTACAGACTGTTACCGGACCTTGTCGCTCGTGACGCTTGACTGTTCCAGCTGATCTTATCAATACAGGCTTGGACCTCTCCCAGACCTTCCGGCACCCCAGACTGTTTCCGTGAACCGTTTCTGTCAGACCAACTGTTTGACAACCAATCCGACTACCCGACACATCAGGTAGAAAATCACGACGCCGTCAGCTTGGTCTTGGCTCGCAATTGTTGGCACTAGATGTCTCGCCCCCACGCAGGTCCGATGTCGAACTCGGCAGGCCCCATGGCCAAGGCATCCAGGAACACTGCCGGCCCTACGCCGCCCAGGTCTCCAGTGCACCAGGCAGCATCACCGAGCAGGAGTACGCTTGTGACACCAGCTTCGAGGACATCTTGCGAGGTGTCCAACGCCTCAAGGGCTGCCAAAGCAGCGGTCCCGGCTCTTGCTCCCGGTGACGCATCGGCATCGGTCCCTACCTTGGAGGTCTGGCCTACATCTGTAGCTGGCCCACTGCCGCAAATTCTGGTGAAAGCACGCCCGGCCACACCGATGACACCAATGACTCCGATGACGCCAACTACCCCGACAGTTTCAACTACAGCATGCCCACCTATGCCCACAGCACCGACCCCTATCACACCGATCCCTACGGCAACCCCATCAGGTCAGATGCTTCCACCGCCCAACCCACCATCCAGATCACGCCACACGACGGAGGGAGACCGGTCACGTTCCCACAACGCTTCCCCCTACTCCAAGTCAGTGCCCCCACAGCGGCGAGGCCGAGCTCGCTCCCGGACGCCACCTCCGATCTCCCGAAGGGACTCAACATCGGACAACACCGTGACGGAAGCATCGAATGCTACCGCGCCGACGCCCACAGCAGCCAAGTCCTCATCCCGGGCACCTACGGCAACTAAAGCTTCATCCCGACGACCGAGAAGCAATCGATCTCCCCTTCCGCGTAGCAGAAGCAGTGCCCCTGTCAGCTCCAGCCTCCAAGGCCGCAGGAGCTCGCCCGGATGTGGGGTCGTCATCGAGGAGCATGCAACTACGCCCGAATCCACAGGCACATCCACCGCTGGTCTTGCTTCCCAACCCGGAGTCTGATCCCTGGAGGAACGAACTTCAGGTGCTAGCCGCACCATATCTTCGCGATGGGATCCCAGTCAATCAGGAGCAGATGAGCTATGTGGCCGCGACCTTGAATGCAGCAGGCATACCGTCTCAGCACTCCACCCTGAACTATGCGAAGGTCAACCCGGATCATCATTTTTATAAGATCACCCCGCACTGGTTCATGCTGACAGTCCCTTATCTTGGGGCCACAGTCCGGCTCAAAGAACCGACGAAGACGCGACCCATGCTGCTCTGGACTCACGCTTCCAGTGTTGGAGGTACTTGCGGCATCCTGCGGAGCCGACAGATCCATCCTTCCCGGCAGCACTCCTCGGAGTGCCCAGCCTTTTATGCCCAGGGCTGGAAGATCACTGGACACGCCAACTACGACGCTGAAGAAATCGCTCGCACGATGAGCCAGAACTGGAGCATGTCTTTTAACATGGCTCAATTGCTGTTGTTCGGACGCGCTGTTGGCACCTGTCAACCGATTCGATCGGGAGGAGAGCAAGCTTGCATTGAGGCCCTGGACTCCAGTGAACGTCCTGATGTTATCCACTATGTATCGGGCAAGTGTTGGATGGTGATCCCGGAGGCAAGCCAGATCGTTGGACTCGCATGGCCCACCGATGCAAAACCGGTCACTGGTGTCCTCCGCTCGTGAACCTGCGCCAGGAGCTGTTGCAGCCAATGACAATTAATGATGTTTCATTGCAAATAAGAGCATACTTCGCCACACTGCCGTCTTCGACTACCGACGATATTTTGCGACAAAAAGTGCACGCCAGAGCCTGATCCGAGTATGTGCTGACCTTGCTGCAGGGTTCCTTTTTTGAAGCT